CATCGTTGATGATTTCGTTAAACTTATTTGAGTAAAAAATCGCTAAAACTCAGATTTACCTATGAATATATTTATTTATGTTGTACACATAACGAAAAATATTTAAATCAGCAGTTTTCAAATAATTGTTCTCTCAGATCAATTTTAAAAATTTACAGAATTTGATGTAATTGAAAATTTTTGTTAGAACTATTGAAAACAGAAATCTCGCGATCGTTACGAATTATCAACAAAATAGTTTTCGGTAGCACTTTACTCGAACCCAAAACTAAACCAAATTCAGGAATGTTTCATCATACAAGGGAGTCAGTGAGAACTTCATTGTTGGAGGAAAAACTATTTACCTACATATAAATTTACCTGGGTAAATTTTTTTTATATATAAACTATGTAAGTAAATGAGTGAACGATATAGAATATTTAATTTATGAAACTGGACGGGAAGAAATTTGTCGATGGCGAAGGTTAACTTTAAACCTGTAATTTAATGCCTTTATTTCATCGTTATCAGGAGAATAAAAATGTTTTAAATTTCTCTCTCACCTAGCGTGAATTTCAATGATTTTATGCTCGTTTTCGACTCTTTCGTTGTCCGTTCCTCGCATACAAAGTGAATAATTTTCGTTTCACTCTTTGGTAATATCTCGGAGAAGGAAATAAGTTTGAAACATTGTGATAACGAGACACCCTAGAAAAGAGATCTTTAAGTGTAATTTACATTTTACGTACGTAAAGTTAAGGCTCAGCCCAATAAATTCTTTTTGCGATGGTAAATGCCACTTGAACGTTTCATGTGATAACGAGATGGAAATTAAATCCTCAAGGAAAAGAAAATTTAATGCATTTTTCTCAGAAGCTTTTCCCTTTTTGCAAAAGCAAACAATGAGGTCTTCGCGCCTCAAAAATGGTCACTATTTTCAGAGAAAAACTACATATGGATAGTAAGTAAACTTTCCAACAGTATAAAAGCTGATTTATTTCAGTATGTGTCGATATCGTTTCATCATGAAGATATTTTATTTAATTTTTGATTCCACTCAGTATCTTTCTACAAATATAATAATTTCGATAATTTCTTAAATATTCTCACAACTTCCTTAAAAAATATGAATGGTGAATTACTTTAAATAACATTTACTGAAGTAAAAAATTTCCTTTTAAAGATGAAATCACTTCACGCTAAATATCTGCACATTTATTTAGAACGTTCCACAATCCATGTAAAAAGTTAGGTGAAACATATCATTTCAATTTTTATTGGATCAATTCCAAGTCAAAGATAGAAAACCACTTTGTTGAGTTCCACAGAGAGTTTCATTTCGACTGAGAGTTTAAACAATCATTTCAAAGTATTTCTTTATGTTTTTTGTATTTCTTTCATGGACTCTCTTTGTACATTGCCCGGATATTTTACTTAATGTACTTCTTTTAAGTTATAAATTCTTGTCAAATGTTCATCATGCAACTGAAAAATTCTTTATTCTCAGCACGGAAATAATTATTTTAAAAAATATCAACTGAAAAGAATCAAACTTAAAAATTGTTGTACAAATTTAAATCTAATTTAGTTTTAGTCTTTGTGAGAATTTTTGATTTAGGCGATATTGAAATAAAAATAAACTTTGTAATGGAAGAAAATATGTAACAAGATTTGAGGCATGACAGAAAATACGAAAAAGTAATTATAATTGAGATCATCATTAAGTTAAAGTAACAAGTTTCGTCTGGAAAAAGTCAGAACGGAACATTAACTAACATCTGGGACGAACAAGTAAAATCAATTAAAACTATCTCACTATCAAGAATGGTCATTTTGCTACATGATACAGTCTCTCTAACATACTTAATGCGATTATGAACTTACATGAATTGAGTCAATATGTCAAGGAGATAATGAGCAGACCGTTGTCAACTGATTACATTCGTGTTTTCTTCACCCCTTTCATCATCACCCTTGCTGCCATAATAATGTTAATCTAACTTAAAACCTCATACTTTAGAGGATTTTGTGACAAATTTCCCCAGTTGCAGCTGTTTTCAACCCCACACTGACTCCATCTCGATGCCCTATAGCTCCGCTTTGCAGCATGATGAAATTTAATAGATTTGTTTCAACGATGATGTGAAATACGCGAGTTGTGAATCTCTCAGGTGTTTGAGAGTTCATTACAAAATTTGATTAGAGGATTGTTGCGGCATGCCGTATTGTGCAATCACACGAGAAAATATAATTTCATAGTGAAGTCGAAAAGTGGAATGAGAATCATGTCATGTTTGTTGTTGTTTGAAATGGAAAGATGAACATTGTGAATGCTTTTCTTCTGCCAATTGTGAGCACCAACAGTTTTAATAATAAGAGATGCATTCACCTGGTGTATTTGAGATATTCTTGTACAGATAACTTGAAGAATTTTTGTCGTCTATAAATCCACCTTATAAAACTGACTATAGAGATAGAAAAGTCGTGAAAAAAAGAAGAGAATAAAAGGAAATTCGATTCCATCACGTCTTCAACTTGGAGCACGAGACTAATTAGCTCACGCTCAACCAACATGAAGAAACAAAGTTTTTTATCATTTCCTTCTTCTTTCGTGGATTGATATACAAGCCATTGGCGGTGAGTTGAGCAAAGAAAAAAAATGTCTTGCTTTTGTTATTGCTATCCTGAAGATATCAACATCGACATGAATTTATCTCTTCGGCTGTTTGTCGATGATCTCGTTAATGAAACGCCAAAAATACTTCTGGCAATTGCCTGAGCAAGCAATCTCAATTTCATGTCCATGTAAGAGAGTTTTTCATTCTGTCGTTTTTTTCCTTGCCAGAAAAAGTTTTCTCCTATTTATTTTATCTTAAACTTCATACAGCTTGAATCACCGTTTCTTTCGAATTTTTGTCGTAAGGATTTAAACAATCTGATTTATGATGCGAACAAATTTGATTTCGCCTGATCGTAATTCCCCCTAGTTCATCTGAATGAATGTTTATTTCCAAGTGACTCACATTTCACCATCTCAATGATGACTCATTCGTTCTTATTTTTATAATCTTTAAAAGTGCATAAAATAAAAGTCAACGTCATGCCGAGATGAAAATCAACAACGAAGAATTGAAGTCATTTGATAAATTCCACAACGTTACGATGCATTCACATTGAAGATTAAGTGATAGGGAAACGAACAGAGAGAAGAGGAAAGAAGTTAAAATAGATTGTCGGGGGTGGATGTGAAATTGAATCAAATCGATAAATTGACAAGAGTGAAACATCATCAAATCGATTTTCCACCCTCTACATTTTTTCTTCATACTTTTCATTTCTCTTTCTTCTGTCCGTTGCCTCTTCCCTTAATCGCATCTCTCGCCGCTTTTAACAAAACGCTCGATCGAAGTTATTTGTATGCAAGAAATAAGCAGATAATGCTATTTGCCTAGCTTTTTGGTGAAAGGGAGGATGAGAAAGGAAATGCTATTAATTTCCACGGTTTGTTGGCTGATAAATAAAAACACAGAGAAAATGAAATAATAAAACATAATTCATCTTGGTTTGTGTCGAGTTTTTGCCGCTTTCTCATGGAACTAGAGTCTGCAAAAAGTGTAATAGCGACGGGGTGGTTGGTGGGACAAATAGAGGGGGAAAACCAATGAACGAGGGTGGTTAATGTGTAAAATGAAAGAGGAAATGAAATGGAATTGAAAAAAAATGTAAACAAGTTCTCGTTATGGGCAATGAAAGTGTGGTTGGCTCGACAATTGTTCAAAGCGAATCGAATTCAGCTAAAGATAAATAAATAAACAAACAAACAAACAAAACAATTAACAAGAGAAAATGAAAACTAGTGAATTAAAAAGAAATGAGAAATTATCCACGCCATGAGACGTAATCAATTCAAACAGAAGATGCAGAGACCATAATGATCGTCTACGAAAATCATCCATGAAACAACAAATTGCAATTCATGTCGAGAAAAAAGAAAAACGACGTGGAAATTAATTGCTGTTAAAAGAATAAACAAGATTAAATTTGAATTACTTTACGCTTTAAGTAATTAGTCTGTTTGACAGGAATGAAAGACTTTAGTAAGAAAGCTTTGTAGGGAGGAATTGTTGGAAGTTGAGTCATTTCAAAAAAAAGGCAAACTGTTGATGATGTTTATGAACATAAAATTGTAAATATGTAAGTTTCCTACTTTATGTTTACGACATCTTTTAGCAAATTATGTTGCTAGCATAACAACAGTATCCTATGCTGTAATATATTGTACTACGACTTTCAGGAGACACAGTCTGAATCATATAATAATTCCTGGCGCCATCAAGCTGCTGTTCTCTGCTCTATTTTGTTTTCCAGTATGGAGAAAAAACTACTGAAAATATACAATGTCAAAGTTCTTTAACATCTCGTGTTCAACATTATCTTTGTGACATGTGACATGTCGCATGGCCTGCAACAAAACAACAAAACATTCAGCAACTTTAAGGAACAAAGTGAAACATTGATTTTAATGTTTAATGAGATCATTGAAATTGTAAACAAAAACATTCACACATAGTTAGTCGAAAAAAAGCGCACGCGTGAAACATTGAGTCTCGGCTCATAAATTATTCGAATTCCTTTCGCTTACAGATGCACTTAGGGTTTTCATACTATAAGACATACTTCCGTATCTATGAAAGCGCTTTTCTTACCCGCAAATTTTCTATTGCACTTAAACATGTGAAGTTGCGGCATCTCGTGAGATCATCGCGTAAAGATAAGGAACGAGTTTTTAATCAAATAATTTAAATCACAAGCAAGTCGTGTTTACAAGAGTATGAACAATCTTCCCTTAAGCTTACTATGAACAAAGTCATTTAGTACACAATTTTGGTTCATTGACGTTGCACGATTACAAATATTTGTTTTAAAAATAAGAGCAAGAATGAAAAGCAAAATATTGCAATTATAATCGAGTATGCTTAATAATGTGCATTTATTTAGTACATAATAGAACCATACAGAAGAGAAAATTAATATTGAGCTTTGTTGTTGAATAAAAATTTAGATGAAAATTAAATGAAAACAATTTCGTTGAAACTCGTTAATATGACTTTACAAATTACGTGATTTCCCTAATCAAATTGTTGGTCTATGAAGAGAATTTCTCCTTCTCTCTTTCTCCCTCTATCTGAATTCATTCATTCTAGTAATTCGTGAATGTTATTAAACTAAAAGAGAAAATCACGTAACATTGTAACGATTGAGATTCTGGTTTATGCAATATGTTTCCATTTGTAGCGATTGAAGTGAAAAGAAAAACGCTAGAAGAAAGTCACAATCAAGAGTCAACTTGGTAATTCATATCGACACACAATCTTACTTTCTCATCTTCTTGCCATACAAGAAAACTGTTTCACCTTTCGATTTTTCACTTTTTGCCCTTTTTATCTCACCTCAATTTGCCAGCTTCTATCTATGTGCATATAGGTAATTGGTGCATTGTGTGTTTGCTTCTGAAAATTGTCTTTTAACTAAATTTATTGTTTGTACATTGATTGTATGCTTGCGGTACAACATACAGAATACGATGTTATGTATGTAACTTTTCCTGCAATGAATGCACCTTTTACAGACAATAGATAATTATTTATGTTAAAGACCAAACTTACGTTGAGTTCTAAGATTTAGAAGATTTGACATTATTTCTATATAAATTGTATTTACTATACACAGATATAAATAAGTGGCAATACGTGTGTGGGTGTAAAGGGCTGGATGTAATCTGAATCCTTTGTGCAAAAACTGGAAACTTAAAGATCATAATTCTTTCTCGACATGTTAACTAACTTTGTTCGATGAAAAGGCAAATATTACTTTGTGATGAACTTTGTTTCCTTCCTCCTGATGTTAAAGCACCATTTAGGTATATAAGCATTTCAAAATGTGTACGATACGACATATGAACGCCTTGTCAAAAAAACTTGCAGATGAAGGTTAAATTAAAGCAATTTTTTTTTGTAAAATATTTCGACTGCTACAGTTCCTGAGTTTGAAAGTGCTAAAAAAGAAAAGTTTGCTGTTAATTAAATTTATTACCGTCCAAGCCATTTGCTGCCATTCCACTTTAACAATGAGATGATTTAAACTATTGCCGAGGGTTTTCTTCCTTCTTTCCAACAGCTCCATGGGGTTCACTGTAATAATTGAAAGTTATTAACAATTATAATCATTTCGCTCTTCAAGTTGTAGTTATTTAACAAATTCAACTGCAGTCGTGTCGAGTCTGTTTTAACAAACATGGCATGCACGCGTTGGTGCAATCATAAGTTGGGAAGCATAAGTAATGAAAGGTTACAGGTGACGGACAAAATAATGATTTAAATTACTTTGACTACATCTGTTTGGTTCACGTGCAAACGTTGGGGTTGAAATTGTTTTTTTTTTTCATTTTGCGCGCAAGCACAAACAAACGGTAGGTCATGACATAATGACTCTAATGACCATTAAACTCATTAAAATTGTGTCCTTAATTTTCAACTTGATTTTCGCAAACCTTACATTGAATAAGAAGCAATTTGTGCCATTTATTTAGAGACTTTTTCCATTTATTTCTATTAGGTATTTTGTTCTTTTTTCAGTCACAATTTAAATTGTTAAGAATAAATACAATTGTAGCTTGACTGTTCAAGAATCTTCAGTGGATGCGATAAAACATAAAGCCGGAATTAAATTTCCTCTCCAGGATTTGTATACTGTTAATAAGCCTGATTTCATCAGTCGTTTCCCGTTCTATAATATAAACTTTTTTTTTAAATTCTGCTGATTAAAATTCATCCAATTAACTTAATAAATAAGACGGCAAGAGGAAAGAAGTATTTTCTTTAAATTTGACCCCCGAGGCGAGCAACAAGAAAACACGAAGAATTTTTATCCGTACTTCATTCGAAAGCGATATTGGAGCACTGGGGTTGCGTGGAAATAAAAACACAGAAGCAGAAATATTGGGCACAGAATGACTCTTCAAAGCATATGATAAGGAAGGAAAAACAAGAAGCAACTGCAAGGATGGCATAGAAAGGATGACGATCATAATAAAAGCACTAAGCTTTTCTGAATGTGAGGGTCTTATTAGGTTAAATCTCAATGTTTTCACTGGATCAGGGGTTTCATTGCTCCTTTCTCACACAACGATTCAATTCACATAAGAAAATGTGATACAGAAAATTTTTCACAAACTAGGTATTCTCTAATGAATTTAAATCTGTTCCTAATACCACAAGAATTAAACAAATATTAATAAAAGGAAAATAAATTCAAAAGAACTCTGAAATTGTTTGGTAATTTTGAAGCTACTAATAAATTTTTAGGTTTTTAAATTTTCATAACTTAATTTAAGTTTTGTGAGTGTTTTAGGATTTTATGTCTACAACTTGCATGGGTTTGTCATTTCGCTTTTTATAATCAAAAGGAACAAAAATTTGAAATCTGCAAAATAAAAATCTCATGCACATTTCTTAATTTTTATTCTTTGAAGGTTGCTCAATATTTATTGGAAGCGAAAACGATATCAAACGATTGAGTGAAGTGCGATTGTTCACAAGAGTCAATAATTTCTTTTGAACTCTGTTGCTTCGGCTTTTTCAACGTATTCAAATCTTGTTGAATGTTTCACAACAATGCAACGCTCAATGTGACACAAAACATTGAATGAGAGCGAACAACACACTTTTGAGTCACCCTCAAAATTGTATTCCACATGCTGCTGAAACGAGTTGGCGAATAAAAATAATTTAGTCAGATGCTAGCAAGCATAAATACAAGTCAGATTTTTTCTTGCTCATCGGGAATAGTTAACAACTAAAAAAAAAAGAACCATGAAATTTATTGTAAAGATAGATCATCGATTGTGAAAGATTTCATAACCATTCCAATAGCAAACGCCGTTAATTAATTGTGCAACATTTATAATTGTGTAATTAGCAATAGGAACAAAACGTTAATTAAACATATTATGTTATTAATTTTCGCATTATCGAAGCATTGAGTGTTGAAGAAGGCATTGGATCAGAAATTTATGTAGCATTTGTATGATTACTCAAATACGCCTACTTACTTTGTTTTGTCAGAAAGCGGCCGTCTGTAATCATCGCTTGATTAAAAGTTTCTAGCTTGATAATTGATTGTTGAAGAAAAGAATAAAGAAGACGGTGAAAGTGAATACCATACAAGCACATGAATTATTCAGTTTCTGAATCGATAGCAACTCAAGTGAAGTAAGAAAAGGAAGAAATAATTTTCGAAGCAAATGAATCATTGATGAAGTGCAATGTTCGATATTTGTGAAATTACTAAAGAAAGCTTTTTCAAAGCTTAACCAACTATAAAAGAATTTATTAAAAGTAAAGTTTGTTGGCTTGATTACGATTTACTCAGAAATGACAAATCAATACAAAAAGAAATTGACAAAAGTATAAATGGATAGCAACATATTTATTACATTCTTCCTGCTCATACCAGGTAAGTGCCTCTTCTATCGTATGGGATGAAAGTTTTTCGGGTGAAACAAAAAAAAATGTCAAGCGACACGAGAACACAACGGCGATGTTAATTAAGTAGTTCATTTGATTTAATGACTTGAACATGAGGTTCAGTTAATTGAGCGAAAAAAGGAAAGAATTAAATAGCAGAAGTTCAGAAAGGGACACAATTATTGCCTCTAAGTGGTGAAGTTTCTCTTAGTGCTATTGCCAATTACATTCTGATATGCAGTGATTAGTTTCAAGTAGACATTACTCAAGTACATTAAAAACACTCTTTACAGAACATAAGTGTAAAATATTTCAGGATGTGGTGATTTCCACTATTCTCAATCAATAGTTCTATGTAAAAACATCAAACTTTATAAAAAAGTAAAGAAGTTAAATCGAAAACGAGTTAAAAATTTAATCGACAAAATATTTTTTGAACTTATTGTGAAAGAATTTTTTTAACATGCAAATTTGCTTCATTGGCCTAAGTGTCTGTGCCATCGGATTTGTATAAGAATCGTATCGATTGACTAATCGGTACGATCCTGGTTCCATTCTCGGTGGTGGTCACTTGCGCTGAGGTTTTCAGAAGTTTAGATACTTCGCCCCTGTTTCATTTAAAGTGGAATTTTTCACTAGGATATAATAAACTGAAATGTCTCTTTGTATCAAATTTGATAAAAATATAAATTTGTCAAATATAAACAATGAAGAGTATTCAGGAATATACAATCCTGTGGAACGCTACTGAAAGTGGAACCTTCATCATTCAAGTGATGAGACAAAGGGAGCGAAACAAGTTGGAATTTATATTCCTGTATTCTTAATCGCTTTAGTGTACAGTCGTGCACTCCCTACTCTGATGATGATGATGAACATGCTTTCATTCCAGTTCAAAGGATAAATTTGATAACGATCGATGCATTTTTTCTTTTATTTCTGGGCGAATTTTCTCTGAACCATCTGGTTTGGTCTACTGCTGTTGTGCTTTATATAATTTCCTCTATTGGACATGTACTCGAATTGCAAAGCACGTCCTATAAAAGCATAGAGAATAACATTATTTAAGTAAAATTTACCATGCAAATGCGACACTGAAAGTGTTGGTTGGCTTAAAAGACTATTTTCGTGTCAATAGCCGGAGATGTCGCATAATGAGTCTCTAGACATTCTCGGAAACATAAGAAATCTAAACGAATAATCTTTGAAATTTCATTCTGCTAATTGGCTGGAGACGAGAAAGATATTTTTTCTACAACGAAAAGCTTTTGAGCAGTTTTCATCATCGCTCCCCAAATCACCGATTCGATTCAATTTTTCACTTCAGTGCTAATAACAAAGCGAATTTCTCGCCTAGTGTCTTCTGTGTCCCAATAAGTGTACAGTGAATCGTTTAATTGGCTTGAATTGGCTTATTTGCTCTTCTTGACTTCTAATTTTATTTTCACTTTTTTTCGGATCTTTTAATTATTTCATGTAGAATTGCGTAATTAAAAATTAATTGAATTAAATCTTCGGCTCAGAAGTTTTAATGAAAAATTAAAAGATCAAAGGGATCACACAGAAGATATCTTTTATTTGTGACAAATAAATCTACTTTCTATACTGAATGTCTGTTGCCTCAGACGTAGGAACGACCTCATTAATAAATCTCTTCTTTGCTTTTCTCGGAAAATGTGAAGGCTTTCGTTCAGCAAGTTCTTTCACTGAGCTTCTTATTTATTAATGAAAAAAATCTTGTCAATTATTTCAGCCTCCGACAAAAATTTCTGAACATTGCATTTTGATATTTAAAGCATAATTTATAAGAAAGATAATTGCTTTAATAAATGTTTTCGTTAAAACAATTGTTGGGAAAAAAATAAAATCAAATTATTTTGAGGTATCAACAAACAATACCTGACGAATACTCTTGAGATTTGATTAAAGTTCATTCTCATCACAACAATAAAAACAATCCTTGTTGATTTTCACATTAATTTATTATTTTAGCTACAATGTCAAACTGAAAGGAAAACTTGCTAAGAAAAAGAAAATTTAATTTCACTCATCTCTGTAAATTTGCGCTTACAAATTAAAAGTTTAAAAAAAATAATTATGGTGTTGAAAGCTGATGTAAATAACAGTGGAGCTCCAATTTTCATCTAAAGAAGTTTTAAGTGAGTTGAAGGAGTGGGTAAGTAAAGATGCAGAAACATTTTCACTAATAAATTAAGAGTTCTTTGAAAGGCGACAATTTCAAAAGTTTACCACCCTAACTTCTTTCATGTAAGCTTAATGATTTTCTCTCATCATTCGGCAAGAAGTAACTTGTCTCAGACTCAGGCGATGGAAAATAAACAAAAACTAAGCAAACTCATTACGTTTGTTAATTTGTAACGGGATTCAAATTAGTGTCGTCTAAAGCTTTAATGAACTTTCGCTAAATATTTATGAATCAACAAAGCAAAAAATGGAGAAAAAATTAGTTACAAGCAACAAAATGATGAAATAATATCATAAGCTTCTTTCAACATTCATCAACGGTTGAAAGCAGTCAAAGAATTCATTTATTTTGTTTATTTTAAGCTCAAAAAGCTTTAAAATCAATACCGTTGTGATTTTATATAGAAAAAACATTGAGAAAAAGTCAAGTGAAAAATATTTAATAATTTTATGAATTGCATCTGTAAAAATTAATTTCCTGAAAGTACTGAGATTAAAACAGAATTAAATTCCAAGATAAGTTTTAATTTCTATTTCCTTAACTTTGTGTACAAATAAAATTCCATAACAAGAAAACTATTCAAATGAAAACTAATGGAAAACATTTTTAAACTCTTTTGATTTAGCAAGCTTTAAAGTTAATGTTGCACGCGATCAAAATCAATGTTCAGTGTCTAGCCATTTAAATAATTCAACAACATTTCCGTTTGAATTAAATATCCTTCTCTCATTTAGCTTTCGTCTTCTGTTTGTTAAACACTGTAATGCCTTAAATATTTATCTGAATATTTTAACTTCTTTTATACAATCTCTCAGTATCTCCACGGCGCCCATCGCGACATACAATTGAAAAATCCTGAAATTTATATTTTGTTGAAGGGAAAAGTTTTCTTCTCTTCTCCACAAGAATTCCCTTAATAGAATTTAATTTTATTTATTACATTAAATTTAATACGTGTGTTTGGGTGTTATTTGTGTGCGTAGAATCCGCTTTGGTGCAAAGAAAAAGATTTAAATAATAATCGCATTCATAATATTATTCTTTTTCGTCTCGCTTTATACTCACTTTCTCTTGGGCTCGACGTTGGTTAATGTCTTAGGGATTTGAGCTTTTATTAAGACATTCATTTGAATATGAACTGTTTAACTTTGGAAAGAGACGAGAATTATTTCGTAAGCGTCATTTCGAAGACTCGCATAACAAAGAAAAATGGAAGAGGCGAACAACCCGAAGTCGGATTTATTTTTACTTTTTATTTGCTATCCATTTACAGATTCTACGAATTCAATGATATCAAGTATTAAAAATTCCTCCGCTTTCATCGCTAGAACACCCGGTGAATTCCATCTAGCACAAACTTGCTGTTGGATTTTATTTGCTTTAACATTGTTTTCTCGTCTTCGGAATGAATAATGTTATAATAGAAATATAAGTGACTGACATAAAGTCGACATATCTCTATTAGAAAGAAAACAAAAACGAGAAGAAGAAAAATATTTTCTTTTGGATAATCCCTGCATATAATCATCACTTTCTAAAACAACTACCTAATAAAAGAAAACCAAAAGTTAATAAGAAAAATCAACGAAATTCCATCTGGGAGTCAGCATCAGCATATGACTTTGTTTTAGGCCCTGTAGATAAAATAAAATCTTATTCCAAAGCTAAGAAAGCAGAAGTTTCTCCAGAGATCTGGTTCATATTCTCGTGCCCTCTTCTTTTCATGCCTAATGCTTCAACTGAGCTTTTATTTCCTTTAAAGTGAAAATAAAAATAATATGTAAATTATACTCATGGGTTTAATAAAAATAAATGGTTATAAATGTATGTAAGAGTGTGTGGAAGCACACAATCTCTTTGCGCTTTTGTCGAGCGAAAACTTTTGTGTGACGTTACTTCGTCGCTCTTTTGCCTTATTTTCGGTTTGTGCCTCCTCGAGATGCAATAAACATTTTTCTTATGTTTGCTTTACAAAAGCTTTTTTACGACTTTTTGTTGAAGATTTTTCTTGCGTGTTTTGTACTCGTCTTCATCTTTTCCTTTTTTAAAGTTTTTCAACTTTTTTTCTTTTTATGTTCCTCATGTAGCACAGATTTTGTTACATTAGACGAGAGCAAAGAATGATCGTAAAATATGGAAGCGTCTTGCTTTACTTTCGGGTCAGGAGCGGTTGCGTTGGAGTTGTTTACTGTGAAGTATCTGTTTGTTTGTTTGTTTTTGTGCTTTCAGAAATGTTAAAATGTCATATTATTCAGAAGGTGGTTTTAAATTATTAGAGTTGAATCAAAATCGTGGGTGTGAAATTCATGAAAACATAAAAACGTAACAAAAAGTTGTCGCCGAGTTGCAGCCTTTTTAATGTTACAGCCAATTAACAACTCTGTGACTAGCTTAGCTTTTCGTCCAAAAAACCTTTAAAATGTTATTACCGCATAACATTTCAGTTAATGCTTGAACCGTTCGAAGCACGATAGTCACTCTAGTACTCTTAATTGCGTTGTAAATTTAAAATCCCAGAAATAAAGATATGAAGGCGCATTAAGTCTCCTTTTTACTCATTATTGTGTATACAATTTCATCCATATTTCCATCACACACCATAGCAAATTATCCTAAAAGAAAAAAAAAATTATATTAAAATGAAAACTGGGAAATAACAAAATTGTGCTTTTTTCTTTTTGTTTATTTTTTGTCGCTTTTCCCTACACGACAAAAAATAATTAAATTTCTCAACTTTTGCTGTATTCATTTTGTGTGCTGAGCTTTTACCCTATTAAAACAAACAAAAAAAAACATATTTTCACTCAATGGAAAGTTTTATGTGCATTCGGTGCAGCACCACACTTGCTTTCCTTTTTTCCCGAGTCGTCATAACAATAAAAACTTTATGATTTGACTTTTCTGCGTTATTGCATTTCGCAATGGGTAGCAGCGAGTCAGCGAACGAGTAATGTAGATATCTTGGGATTCAAATGATTTTCCTTTCAACGAAAGGAAGGAAAAAAGTGCAATAAAGAAAATTTAAAACAACTTGATTATTGTCAAACTCAATTCCTAGTCATAAAAATCTTGGAAACTTAATTTCTTTATTATGAGGAAAATTTTATTATTCACGTTTCAATTTTCAAAACAATGAAATTCCATTAAAGTAAATTTTAAAGATGCATATTCAAGCTTAACTTTATTTCATAAAATCGATGTTACTGAAATATCTTCAGAAAATAAAACTAAATTAAAAATTATTTCATGTATTGAAGATTAAATAAAATTATACCTTTTTGCACTGGAAACCTGAAATTTTATTGGGTACATTTCTCGAACATCTCAAATACTGATTTGATAAGACCTTTTATGGAATAACAAAATATAAACGAGAAATCATTTCTTCCTTAACCTACTTAAACAGAACCTACGGCAATGTTCACATTTGGTACTTTCAAAAATTTATAAGCAAATCTAAGAAGAAAAAGAGGTTTTCACAAGAAAAATATCTGATGAAGCCTCATGTCATTCGCAACAATTTCAGGTTTCAGCTTGAAACCTATTTAGAGGAAATACTAACAAGTATTTATGTTGAGGGTTTCGTATAATATGCGCATATGTTTTTGGTTACTTCACCACGTAGTTATTGAAATAGAAAAATTCAAACGGTAGCTTCTGCTTAAAAATTCCATAAAGATAAATTTGATAAAAGTGAAAATTGAGAGTTTGGCTTGAGGGTAAAAGATGAATAAATTTTACCAAATGATTTGAACAATTGAAATTTCTAAAGAAATTCTCTAAACTGACTTTCAAATATTTTCTCTTTATTAATGGTTTTCAAATTGCATTCACACTTCCTAGTAGCTTTTCATCAATGTTGATTGAAACAATAAAATGTTATAAAATATTTTAGTCCTTTAAATTTCCATCATAAAAATTTCATATTTCACATTAAGATATCTTAAAGGTTTTCTGAAACGTTCAATTCTTCTCAAACTATTTATAAAACAATTTTTCGTAGCTATTTGAAACCTTTCGTAGCCTACTTAAATTTAAATAAACTTTTTTATCAAAGAAATATTCTGCAAGTTTCCCATTGTTATGCTTTTTAAGTTGAATGATGTTGTTTTTAGCAGCCAATGAGTATTTCTGAGAGTGAAAAGAAACTTTTCAGAATAAATATATGTCTGGCTTTGATTTTGCATAAAATTATTTATTTACTCAGAGGGTTGAATGCAATAAAAATAATACGTTCAACAACCCACAAGTTATTAGCATTTTAAATCAGAATCGAATAAATATCTACGTAACTTTCCCTCGACATCTTTCAATTTTAAACAAGAAGAAAAAAAAAAGCAAATAAAATCGAAATCAAATCCATGAACATATAAAAAATATGTGTCAGAAGCATAAAACAAAACAAAAGAATATGTTTCGACTTCAAAGCATATTCATCGTTACAGATACACATAAATCTAACGAAATGTTGTATCTTTTATCGATTTTAAAGGATAATTAATTACAATNATGGAAGCGTCTTGCTTTACTTTCGGGTCAGGAGCGGTTGCGTTGGAGTTGTTTACTGTGAAGTATCTGTTTGTTTGTTTGTTTTTGTGTAGGGTTGCTCAAAACCAGCGAAAAACAAAAACCAGCAAACCAGCAGATACAACTTTAAAAAACCAGCGCTGGTTTGCTGGTTTGCTGGTTTTTAATAAACACATTTAATTTTAAGAAAATATTGTTTTTTCATCATCATCAGATCTTTTATAATAAAATTTCAGGAAGATCAAAGAACTTAAGGTCTTGTCGTTTAATCTTGAGCGAATTTTACTGAAAAAAAAGTAGTCTGTTAGATAACACGTTCAACATCTGTTGAAGTAGGCTTAAACAGTTTGAAAGAAAGTCTACGCACATTAAACTAATCATGATTTATAACAAAGAAAGTATTTTGTCAAGCAGACAGTCAAATCGGTAAACTATTCATAGTGTTGGCCATTCGTTCCAAATACTAATGCAATTTATTATTCCTACAGCTTATCGCGGCATAATTTTTAATTAAGGTTTTTTTTATGCTACTTTGAAAATTTTCTTCTAGGAAAAGAAAACGAGAAAGCTATCGTAATAAAAGTCTTATAGAAAATAGTTTC